GCTGAGTATTATTGGGAATATTGAGGGTTCCACACAAAAAAAGAGGTACGATTCCTCAACTACAAATACAATTCTCATCTTATAGTATGGGCGTCGATATGTTCATGTAAGCTATCAGAATAATTCTAGGTTATTTTTGATGTTGTCCGAAAAAACTTGAATATATAGATAAGATGAAAACCAACATGCATTTATTATACTCCAATATGAAAGCTGTTTATTCAAGCGTTCATGCGATGCCAGTAGTAGCCTTCTCCAACTCGCCGTATTTACAATCAGGTACTCTACGTTTCAGTCAGAAGGCAACTTTGGTTTTAGACGGGCGCCTCTGTTCTTTGTTGTTGGTCATCTTAGTATGTGCTAGTACTGTATTACATCATTTCCGTCGTGTGAGGAGATTAACATACTTAACCTGTAAAGTATGAGCGTGACTGATAAAAAGTGAGCATTATAATTCTTCTACGTGAAAATCTCCCAGCTTGGTATAGTCTTGGATATAAAGGACCCCATTCAGCCTTTACTTGTAATTTGTGTTTTGGGTCAGTACCAGGGAAACGATTTGGCAATTCTGTGATTTGCGGTTTGGTTACGGCTTTTTGTGCCTGCGCCTGTGGTCTTTGTGCTTTATTGATGCCAAGTATTGCTGAAGATTTTCCTATGGGGCGGAAGTCATTGACCATTCTGATGTGTACAGGATAAAAATCCGTTCTGAAAGTAATCACACAGTTCACAGTGGCGTGAATAGGTCAGTCTTGTATAGAACACCTTCCTTCAAGTCTGGACACACTACCAGATAAAATATGATGAATATTATGTCTAGTTGTTTGTTGAGTTAAAGTGATAATCTAAGTGCACGCTTATTAGCACAGTTGTCTATGAGTTATCCTCGAGCGACGGTCTCGTGACCTAACTATTTGCGCAACTGTATAAGTGGAAGATATCGATTGTAAATTCTATTTGTTATTTATAGTGTCCAATGTGTACTCATTTGCAAATAGAATGAATACAATTTTGGCAACCCTTTTTTCTTTTCGTGCCAGTGTTTAAAACCATATAGTACAAATTATCTTGTTAGGAGGCCAGTTTTCGGGGCGCGTTTGTCAGCGGTGACCGCGGGCACAATAAGCATCTCGTTAGATATCCGAACCAAGCTTTGTAAAACGAATACATCGTCCAATCATCCTGCAATCTCCGTCAGGTGTTGGTACTGTTGTCAAAGATAACGACAAACCCTCCTCTTTGAACTAAAAATGATAGTTATTTCCTGTAAAGCGAACTGCAAATACAGTGCCAGCTTCAGGGGGAATCTCCCAAAACAAGGGATAAAGAATTACTGGGAACCGACTGGCGCCACGTGTACACCACATGACACTCCGTGTGAAATATTCTGTTCTGGATACTCTTCGGTTCTGATCTCATAAAAATAATTAGGCTATCTAATATCCCAATTTTAAATATTTATGCATTGTCAATGTATGGGCAACTTAATCGAAATCAAGCTACACTCAATTAAAGGTTTATTCCGTTCGGGGCTCGGCGCCTAAAATTTCTTTTTTGAGTTTCGTGACGAACCTAGGTATAAAAAAATCACTTTAAAAAGAGAATTGTGCGATAAATTAGTTCATGCACTTCCCAAGATAGTTTTTACATGTTGGTTGCATTCCGAGACAATCCGTTTCGCCAATCCATCTGGATGGGAGAGTAAATTTTGCGCACAAATTAGTATACATTAAAGAAGGTAATAATCGAAGTTTCGACGGAATGGAGTGGACTAGCAAAGCCACTATATTGTCACAATACAATGCTGTGCTAGTCCCCAAATACATATTGCCAAATAGTTTGTCCACAGCTGTCAGTTCCAATATTGCATACACATGGCATATGGAATACACTGAACTTCGTCAGAGAATATACTCTTCGGCCCTGATCTCGTATTGATACTTTACTTTAGATCTTATAGATCAGATTATCCATAATCCTAAGCATTTTTATCAAAGTATGACCAGCCTTTAAAATTGAGTAATCAAAGTATGACAAATTGAGTAATTGAAGTATGACCAGCTTTCAAGATTGTGCTAATCGACCATGTGTCATCATTTTTGAGGTGAGGCCAACTGCATGGAAAAATATTGATTGACAAGGACAAACTGAAATCAAGGAACAGTCAACTGAGAGTTTATTCAGCTCGGGGTTCAGCGCCTGAATGTGTATTTTAGAAAGCTATGGCCTGAAAGTACTTTTTAAAGTTTATAGAGTCTCGTGATGAATCTAGGTATGAGCAGTCACTTTAAAAGAGAATTATACGATAAGTTGTCAGCAGAATCACTTTCCAAAATTTTATTTATTTATTGATTGCATCCCGAGACAATCCATTTCACCAATCCACCTGGATGGGAAAGTAAGTTGTGTAAACAGATTTAGTAAAAAACAATGTGGGCACACATAACAATGTGGACTTCGTCAAAGAATGTAACAATGAAGGCATATCTTCAATAATGATCAGTATACTCCGTCCACTGTATATTGTGTACAAATTGTGACTGATGTCTCTTCCAGCAATAGAGGACACCACAACACCTGTGTGAATCAAAAGAAATATGATACGTGTGCAAGCGCTTAGGGTTATCTTTTAAGGGCTGCAAAGTACGAAAGCAAAAAGTGGAACAGGCTAGGGAACCTAATCTTTGAATCATAAATGATACACATTCCCAGAAGCTAACGCGTTAGTATATCACAATGGTGAACAACAATCCTGCATGATTTCCAAGCATGCATATCTATCTATCATTAGAATATATAAGAACATTTCGACAGTCTCTTTTTGAAATACAAAATTCATGACCCGCACACTTTGTAAAACATGTGAAAATGGCAAATTCTCTCAATGTTTCAGAATTGGAATTGTCATCTACAGATGTGCAAATAGTTCGCATCATAATATAACGTAGTCGGCTATGTAAGCAAGAGACTTGACTGTCAAAGCTAAGCCTGAAAACAAAATTGTGTGATATAGGATCGCAATAATGCCGACCTATAGTTTAATTTAAGAGTGCATCAATACAACATATAGTATAGTCAATGTTGTCCAAAGGTTGGAAACGGCATTGTAGTAGTTTGTTAGCTTAAAGAGCTACTAAACGTATCCTGATCGATATGTCTGCCAGGCGATGGCAGAAGCTGGACTTGCTGGAGTCGGGACTGTTGATTTTGGGTTCTAACAGCCGCCAGCTTTGTGCTATCGGCGCCATGACTGTTTTGCTTTCAATCACCTTTGTGTTACTCGATAAATGATGTTGATTCGCCACGTATCTTTCCAAGGTACTTCTGATTATCTTGGGGGTTCGGAAGTTTTGCTGTGCAACAAATTAGCTCGAACACTATTGTACTTTCGTTTATCACCATTCTACTCCACTTAGTGAACTATATTGATTTTTTTACCCAATGTGTTCAACGTTCTGACTAACTTGGGGGTTCGAAAGTTTTGCTGTGCAACAAACTAGCTCAAAAACTATTGTACTTTTGTTTATTATCACCCTCCTCCACTTACCGAACTATATTGATTGTTTTTTACCCAGTGTTCAACTTTTTGATGAAGAACGCCACTCGTTGTTTGGGTGAGCAGACAATCAGAACTTTGTAAAAACAACTCTGAGCTGTGAATCGGTACCACTTGCTATCTTTTTCAGTTTGAAGCATATGGGGAACTTAATAACGGACACTTAAAGCAAGTTGTTTTACACTCGGATTCGACTCCTCTACCTCGATTCGTCAGTTGTCTGTGCTCACAATCCATGATACATGATTATAGTGTACTTAATTTCATTTAATTTCATTTTCTTCCGTATTTATAAGAAAGGACCTCATGCTGCCCTCACACGAGTGCTAATTAAAGTATTCAGTATTCTCATCTATGTTTCATCACTACTTTAATATCTTCTGTCGTGACTTAGCAGTTTCTGTCGTTCACCGAGATAGTAGATAGTGTTGCAGGCTTATTCTGACGTTCACGAATGTCTACCCTGTTATATACGGCCTCAAGGTATATTATATGACCGGCTATAGCCGGCTATAGTGCCAGAAAACTCGCTTATCGAATCAGTACTACGGTACGGCTCGACGCAGGCACATGTCTTTGTACTAATCGTACAAGTTTATTCCACACATGTGGCAACTTAAACTATACAGTATCGCGTTTTAGGATCTCAAAAAGTAAATAATATCGTGACGCGACTTTTTGTTAATATGACCATCTCAGAAATAAGCTGACGCGAATTCTATTAATGACCGACCGTCTCAGATGTGAACTGAGGCGAATTTCTATCAATGACCGACCGTCTCAAATGAAAATTGACGCATGCGTCTATTAGTGACCGACCGTCTCAGATATGAATTTAAAGCAAATGTCTTTTAAAGCAAATGTCTGTAAGCGACTGACCATCTCAGATTTGAACTTGACGCAAGTGACTTTTACGGTTTCTATTAGAAATAGACCGTCTCAGACTTATACTGACGCGAGAATCTATTACTGACCGGTACTCTCAGATTCAGACCGAGAGTTTCTGCAATAAATATCGAACGTCTCAAATGTTAACTAACGTGAGTTCTATTAATGATTGACAATGTTCATCTGCTTCAGACTATTGGCAACTGCGGTTTGCATATCTCAATAGCGCACCTATCAAGAACAAACGTTGTAAACTGCATGCGCTGAAGTATGTGATGTCGGCTGTGAGAGTAAACACTGCTTGTACTCTCATACATATAGATACATATAGCATGAGGTGCTGAGAGATGTAGGGTGCACACAGACTTGGTCCACTATGGTTTGTACATATCTTGTATATTGATATATGCAACATATTCGACTATTGAGATTCCACTATTGCTTGCGATCTGATGTGAAAAACACATATTCGCGCGAAGTAAGTTAGTTGTACTGAAGAGTTGTTCCCATCAGCCGATTATACTGCACGCAGTATGACAAAGCCTTTCACATTACTGATTCCAAAAAAAATTTATGTGGACAAGATATACTACCTAATTAGATTATACTTTACTGCATGTGTCTACCGTACATCATCTGCTGCTGTTGCTGCTGATGTTGTTGCTGTGTTGCCTGATTACTCGTCATTGGACTTCCCATTTGCCTATTATGCAGCATTTGCGCCTGCGCCTGTACCTGTGCTTGTGTGTGCGCCTGCGTTTGTGCCGGCGTGGGTGTCTGTTGGCCACGTGCAAGTCCCAACGTTGGTGACATCCCCATGGTGCCCTGTGTACCTATTTGTTGAGGCGTAACCATATTAGCAGTCCTGAAGATAGACTGCCCACTATTTAAACTCGGTATCACCAGCCCGAATAAGTTTAGTCTACCTCCGGCGAGTAACGCAAGAATCAACAAGTCCTTGTTCTCTGGATTGGCAGGCAACTGCACGTATCCATAGCAATCATTGACACTTAAGCGAGACTTTATAGTCTCCAGCCGTAGATCATTTACCCTTTTCTCCTCCGGAGGAATCGTGGATAAACCGTGCATAACTATAAAACCATTTGCTTTCAACTCTGCTTGCGGTTCGATCCCCAATTGATCTCTCGCATGCACCGTCGTTATCTCTAGATTTTGGGGCAATCGGTCCAACGGAAATGCCTGAGTATTCTTCGCTCCGTTCACGAACCTCGCAGATAGCGCACACATGTGTGGGTATTCTATTTGATTCCACCGAAGGGTGCCATTCCAGTGTAGTGAACTCGCATTATTTGCTTGTGTGGGAGAGGGGGTAGGTTGGAATGGCATCCCTGGCCCCGGTGACAGTAGATTCACAGGACCTTTACCATTGTTCATCGCATTCGCATTCGGAATAGCGGTTGCATCCGCGTTGTAGTTGGCGCCCCTACCCGCCGGCGTGAAGCCGTTTGATTTCGGATTCGTGTTTGTGGTGGCGTTGTTAGCACCGGCAGGATGTGCGCTCGTGCTGGTTCCTGGTTTGTTATTCACTGGTGGCTTTGTCGTATGTACATGGGGGAGGGGGGCCAACTGCTCCGCTAAAAACTCAAGCACGCGCGAAGGCAAGCAGAACATAACCAACTGTCCATCCTTTGTCATCACTTCCAGATTTTCAATGGCCGCATTTTCATTGAGTGCCGTGCGATATAACATACGCAGTGGTTCAAGATCTCGCGGGGATATAACGCTCAGCTGCACGCCCAACATAGAACTATCTGAATTGTGATGTAAAAGAAGGATAAGATCACATTAGTCGATATAGCTAAGTCAAAGATGAACAACAGAGAGGTAGGTGAGAACGTAAAATAGAGTGAATTTAATACATCCCAAGTGTTATCGAACTATGAAACTCTATATGCACAGACGTTATTGTGCAAGTCTGAATTCCAATAGTAAGCGCTCGGTATTATATGAGGTATAGATAAATGTATAGAAGCCGAGGGGTGTATGTGCAAAAAAAAATCACGCACAATTGCAAATTCTAGACATGTAGAAAAAAATATTAAAATGAACAACCTCTGTTAATTTGAAGAATGCAAGTTAGTCAATGGTATCTTTCAGATGTGAATTGCCAATAAAAGTGATACTTGATTATGAAATACTACGTAGAGATGTACGTGTTGTGATCTTCTTATTATTGTAGGACCAAAATAAGCATGCGTTCCTGTGTGGCGGGCGAAGTACTATATGTAATGAAGAAATCTAAAGACTACTTCATGGTTTTCAAAGTGTTGTTAGGACCATATTATGGGAAAATTTCATTTCATTTCGAGACGGTATACAGAACATGTGAAACGCCAAGCGGTCTTTATAATTAAAATAAAATAAAATGAAAGGTTGGCTTATTCTGAAGTGGTATGTTGACCGACCCAGAAATGTTCAATTAAATTCTAACTTGGACGTGAAGTCTATACACAAACACAAACACAGACACACACACAATACATGCAGACTACACAGAGGCGTGGACACACACTTGTATTTTATATGCATATATATATATATATATATATGAATAAATATATATACATACACACACACACACACACACATATATATCTATGTGAAGATATATATATATATGTATATATAAATGTATATACACACACACAGACACAGACACACACATATATATATATCTATTGAATATATATATATATATATATATATAAACATAAATATATATCTACACATACATAGATACATGGATACAAACATAAAAACGTATACATACATATATACACACACATATATATATATGCAGATATGTATATATGCAACTAAATCTACAACTATATATGTATATATATATAAATAAATATATATGTATATATAGATACAGATATGGATATATGCAACTAAATCTACAACTATATATGTATATATATATAAATAAATATATATGTATATATAGATACAGATATGGATATATGCAACTAAATCTACAACTATATATACATAAATGTATATGTATATATATATTTATACAATTGTAAATTTAGTTGCATATATATATATCTGTATCTATACCTATATGTATAGTTTATGTAAAAATACATATATATACATACATATATACAAATATAGACATGTGTGTATATATAATCATACACAGCTCATAAATAAAATACATATTTCTATATACATACATACACACACACACTTTCATATGTATATATATATATATAAATAGATACAAACATAAATAAGAATATACAAATAAATATATATATATATATATATATACAACTATATATAATTATATATACAAATAGATATATACATATATACGTATATATACACACATAGATATATATATACATACGTAGATATATACAAATATATATATATACATTCATACATATATGTGTATAGATAATCATATACATACAAGTATAAATAAATAAATACACATGTATTTATATACATTCACACACAGAAACAGACACAGACACAGACACACATATATATATTTGTACACACACACACACATATATATATATAAACTTACAAATGCATACATTACATACGTACATACACACAATATATGCAGACTACACAGAGGCGTGGAAACATACTTGTATTTTATATGCATTTATATATATATATATATAAATATAAATGATTAAATATGTATCTATAAATATATATACATACACACACACATACACACACACACATATATATATCTACGTGAAGAGAGAGAGAGAGAGAGAGAGAGAGAGATATATATATAAATATATGAATAGATATGTATATACACACACGCGCGCACATACACACATATATACATATCTATAGAATATATATATATATATATATATAATATAATTATAATATATATATATAAACATATATTTATATATATATACACACACATATATCTATTATATATATATATTTATTAAACATAAATATATATCTACACATACATACATATATACATATACACACACACACACACATATATATATATATATACAGATATGTATGTATGCAACTAAATCTACAACTATATATATATATACAAATAAATATATATGCAACTAAATCTACAACTATATATATATACAAATAAATATATATGTGTATATAGATACAGATATGGATATATGCAACTAAATCTACAACTATATATACATATATATAAAATATATTTATATAATTGTAAATTTAGTTGCACATATACATATCTGTATCTATCCCTATATGTATAATTTATGTAACATACTAGATATATATACACATATATACATTCATACATATATGTGTATAGATAATCATATACATACAAGTATAAATAAATAAATATACATGAATTTATATACATTCATACACACACAGACACACATACACATATACTTATACATATACATTTATATAAACGTGCACACACACACACACACACATATATATATTCTGAATGTATGCCTGGACCGATCTGAAGAAATTATAAACTAGCATATTTGACTTATGAATACATAGACATTCACAAGTATGGCACATAGTTATATACACGGATTAGCAAAGAGGAAAATAAGCACTATATTCACACAAAAACATTAAAGAATGTCGGACTTCCGTATCTACACACATACTCGCTTTCATAAATACATCCATAGGCGAAGATATCCGTAAAAGTGCTCAAACACACGCTCACATACCGTTGGCCAAGTCAATGTATGTCTTGTCCTTGTACCTTGCAACAAAGTTGACAGGTGCCACCGGGAATGCGTTGTTCGCCAGTACAAAGCAATACTGTGTTGTGTTTGTATCCGTGCTATTACTATCCAGTGTTTGCAGAGCCAGCGCCAAGCCGTCGCTGAACGCCAGACACTGAAAGCCTCCGTAGAAGTCTATGCCTTTGTACCACGAGAGGGCCCTGTGCTGCGATGTCGTGAACGGCATCATCTCCACGGGTTGCTGCGCGCAATAATCTCTATACACAACCATCGCACACGACGTATCCATGTCGCTCAGAGCTTTAAAGTGCTGTATAATAGCGGTTACATAGCGTGTGCAGAAGGTGTGATGTGTACCAGACATGGCACCGCTGCCGTCTATAAGGAACATCAGCTGGTGCTGTGTGCGTTTGCGTTCTATAGCCTGGGTCTGGTTTTTACTGGACTGTGGGGGTTGACCCACAGCGGGCATAGTCTCCACACGCTTCATCATGAGCACTGACTTGTGCGACTACCTGTATGCGTGTCGTATGCTAATAAACCACTTTCGTGTGAAGTTATAACACTTTCGTGTGAAGTTATAACACTTTCGTGTGAAGTTATAGCCCTCCTGTGTACTATTTTAGAATTTTTGTGTGATATGAGACCACTCCCGTGTTCAACGAAAGCCTGATGGAGTATCCGTGCGCAACTGTATGATGCCCCCGAATCTGCCATCGGGGAGAATTCGGTGACTACTATAATTAGGATCGGATTGCCAGATATATAATGCAATAGCTAACTAGGTTTATGATAGTATAATATAGTCGGAAGTACATCGGTTACGCTGCTTTGCTGTTAAAGTAAGAAAGATCACAGAAATACGCCGACGTAACCTGAATTCATAGTCTATTCGTCATCGGATCAGAGGGTCACCGAGATCAACGAATGGCTACAACAGAGATATAAGTAAACTTCTACCAGGAAAGTGTAATACATGAGCGTTTCAATATAACACGCATACAATATGTGAAGACATGCATGTACAAATGAATGAGCATGATTCTAAGCATGAGAGCTATGTATATAGGCGGCAAAGACTGCCTACGGTTGAATGTGTTTACAAGGTTGCTAAACACCCCCTCTGGGAACTTGCAAACCACGCCCTAGTCATCTGTATTTATTTATTTTTATTTTCATTTAAAAAAAGAAAGAAAGAATGCTCTTGTTTGTCAATTGCCTTCTTCTTCTGCTCCCTCTCTTTTGTTTGATGAAGGCTACCTGTGCGGGCACTGGGCTGTGGGCCTGTGCCCTGTGGCTATGGGTTGTCAGGCTATGCATAGTTTGTTTTGTGGTCTGTGGGCCGTGGCTATGGTTTGTCAGGCTATGTATGGTTTGTCAGGCTATGTATGGTTTGTTTTTAATTATTTATTAGGGATTCAGGTCTCTTGGTTTCACGGTATACACATACGGCAGTACTTGTGGTGTGGTTCAAACAGAAACAACGCTGGGTCACTGGGACGCATGCTCGATAGTACAGAACAAAATATAGCTGTAGGCGCATATCATTGTCTTGTTACTTTAAGATAGAGTTGTGCGTTATGGGACGAAATATTAAGGCGATTGACGATACTAACGTACTAGTTGTCGGGTCAGTACACGACGGCCCAAAAACACTCAGGGATATGTGTGCTACCACTTTAGAACCCCTTGGGAGAGCACCACTAAAGAAGTCAAACAGCGATGCCAAACGACAGCGGTTAATATGTAATGGAGAAGATGAAGAGGGGAAAAAGACCTGCACATGGCAGTGTAATTCTGTGCTAGTGGAAGCAAAGGAAGGGGAACAATCAAGCAGGCATAAAGTTACAAAGTATGTCACTGAGCACACATGTACTGCGCCGCCTGCGAAATCGCGTATTCGTAGACCAAGTTCTACTTCATCTAAGCCAACAAAGGCAAAGAAGATCATATTCGACACTGACATCGGCATAGACGATGCGATGGCCGCCGTGTTTGCCATCGCCAGTCCAGAGATAGATCTGGTTGCTATGACAACCGTGTTCGGGAACGCCACGGTGGAAAATGCCACACGCAATGCACTACACGTTAAAGATAAGTTTAAACTCACAAACACTGTCATCGCGAAGGGTACAAATAAGCCTATTGTAAACGCGTATGTAGACCCTACTGTCATGGTACACGGTATCGCCGGCCTTGGAGATGTCGATGTCCCGGTATCGACCACGTGTGAGGCGATAGACACCCCCGCATATCAGTACATTATCGATTCGTTGAAGGCAGACCCCAATAATATCACACTGGTGGCAGTGGGCCCACTCACCAATCTAGCACTAGCACTGGCGGTATGTATATCCTGTGATGCTCTGCTGTTGTCATACTAGCGTCTTCTCTCAATTGATGTGTACGCTGTGCGTGTCCACCCATTGGATTGAACCGTGTAATACGTAATAGTATTGATATTTAAAGTGCCTTCTCGGTTTTATGTACAACTGTGTTCGTTTTACCCTGCTGCTAGTCCGTCTGGAACGGAGGTAAATAAGTCATGACATATATAAGAAGGTTGTACATTTGTTTCTGAGCTTGAGACCTGGGAATCACTATCGGCAGAGGTGTTCTGGATACAAGGCTAGAAAAATATATGATACGATAAGTATTTATCTGTTTTACTTGTGACACAGACACACACACACCTACTTTGATGGCAAGGTCGTCACATACTGTGCGTCATTGCGACTGTAGTAGTGTATGCGTAGTGGAACATAGAGTGCCGAGTCTCCTTCTGGTCGGTTGAAATCTTCTGTAAGGAGTATAAGTACATACGAAGCATATTACATATGCGTCCTGTTTGCAAGGAGAGCATTGATACGGGCAATATTAAGCTTTACGGAGTGATTGTAAACATCAGGTGTCAGTAGAAGTACTAGCTCAGTATTGGGCTGTTGTAAGCATAGGCTGTGAGTGATAATCATAGTATTACCTCTTCCTGGAGATAAACTGGGGTGAAATCACGAGGTACTGTTTAAGTGTGCCTCTTTCACAACAGACCATTCATACTGAAAATGTGTTGCGATCGCGCAAATCAGTGATACTCTACTGCTGTGCTTCTTATACGTACAGCCTCGGGTGCATACTTCAATGCTCGAGTGTGCATGAGGTTGGTTGCTCACTTTCAGATTCATATTCAAATGCGAGGAAGCTGCTGTATGCTTATAGTTTGTTGTCTCTATCTAGGTGCTGTTAGTGAGTGCACGCTGGAGACGCTCCGTGATCTTTAATCGGTCGCATACACTTGATGACTGTAAGAACCCACTCTCACTTCTCCATAGAACTATACATAAGTGTAGTTGTCATTGTCTGTGTGCATATATATATATACGCTGACTTTTGAATTGGCTTGGACACCCGAGTAACACCGAGTATGGTCGCTGTCGCATGCGTTGCTATGATGCCGTGTCGTGGACTGAAAACGTGAGCGTATGTTCACTTTGTTTTGGTACTTTCGGATTTGCATCCAAAGCTGTAGAACCGCAGTCTGGCACCCAGCACTTTGCCACCGATTAGTCCGATTTTCAGTACGCCATTGCCCTGACTATAGCTTTCGTATCAATTACAGGCATGCCCGGAAATCACCAAGCTGGTTAAAGAGGTGGTGATCATGGGTGGAGCTTTCGGGTTAAACGAAGCATATGGCAACAAAACTTCATGTGCCGAGGCTAACGTATACTTAGACCCACACGCTGCCGATAAAGTGTTCACCGCTGACTGGCCGGTGGTCATAGTGGGCTTAGATGTAACGCAGAAGTGTATCTTCACCCATGACTTTATAGATAATTTAAGGACAACTGCGGGGGAGATGGGGCAGTTTGTGTGGGATGTCAGCAGGTGTGTGTACTTGTGCGAAGTATTGTGCTAGAGTGTATGATGTATAATCCTTCTGTCCCGACCTACCAGTTCTGAAAGGTGAGTTTCTGCCCTAATAGAGGCATCGTTTGAAGCGAATTGGGCTGCCGTTACGAGTTAATGGTGGCAATCATTACAGGAATGTGATATGTATACCTCAGGAGGCAAATGATCAATTTTCAAAATTGAGTTGGACCTTAGCACCATTTGTACGTCATTTAGTTATTTTCCTATAAAGTCGCAGTGTTGTTTCGTCATCCTTCAATGGCCGACTGTATCCTACATGACAGTAGTATTGTCTGCGTGTCCCACTATGTAGCTCCTTTTTTCAATTGAGCCGATCATACCTTGTACATACTCGTGGCACAATCTGAAAGGTGCATTGACTTGTGCGTCTCTCTGTTGCGGCCGCTGTTTGCGCTGCTTCTGATGTTATTCCTATTGTAGAAATTATACAAGTATGCAGTTTTTGGGGCAGTATCTGGCCGTATACGCCCGTGATTTTGAGCGAACCTCCGGACAGTTGTGATTTGTCACGTGTGCGCGCATGTGTTGTTAAGTGTTTATGTATTTATAGCTATATACCACCACCACGCAAGTGACTCAAAAAGTGATACTTACCACAATCCTGGTGTATCGTGTGTTCTGATGCAGGTTCTACCTGAAATTCTATTCGGAAATTGTGGGACTTACGAAGGGGTGTCACGTCCACGATCCGTCCGCGATCGCCTATGTGATCAAACCCGACTTATTCACGCTCAGGAAGGGTCCGGTACGCGTGGTGTGTGAAGGCGTAGCAGCTGGTCTGACGATACAGAAGTTAGACAGAAAGAGGTATCACGTAGACAACTGGTCTCCACACAGGGCACAGTGTGTGGCTGTGGATGTGTGCAATGAGGAGCTTGTGGAACTGTATCGCAGCACGTTGGTGGCTTATGCGAAGAAGCAGACAGAGTAGCGGTAGAGCTGCTGCACTAATATTCAATAAAGAACATGTCATGAATATCAGTCGTATCAGCAGTGGTCTTGGATATGCGTAGATTTAAATACTAGTTTATAAAGATGAACGTGTACCAACGGTATTTCTGGATACTGTCCGGATAATATACCACAATGAGAGCATGACGCCAAATGACCCGTAATATATATATATATATATATATATATATATATATATATATATATATACACTATACTATACTATATATATATATATATATATATATATATATATATATA